ATTTGAACAGAGATTGTTGTACAAATATTTGCTTTCGTAGTACGACATCATGCATCATGTGTACTTTTCAGATGGCTGGATGATGCAAGGTTCGCTCACATCCAACAATGTTGTCCGACGCATTTGAATTTGTTTGTGGCAAACTTATATACTGTAATTTCCATGTGCCAAAACACAAAAAAAACATGCAGCCCTTGTGGCTTGACAGCGGTGGCCAGCGTAGGGAGACTACACCATGCCGGAGTTTCTCAATGTGAGCACCACCCTGACGCTGGCGGCAATCGGTGCCTGCACCTTGCTGCTGGCTGGAGATGCGCTGGCCTTTACCTCAGGTGTGAGCCGTGGCCCACAGCTGCCACCCCATGTCTCAGGAGCATCCTCCCTGGCAGGCAGCAGCTTGCCCTTTGCGTCTGCACAGGAGGTGATGGGAGCCAAGGGCGTGGTGTGCTTTGGCATGGGTTTCGGTATTCTCATGGCGCTGAGCCGCGGGTTGTCCCAGTCTCGAGTGTCTTGCAAGGCATTTTTTGAGCAACCAGGCAGCCTCGTGGTGAAGGAAAAGGACACGGACATTTCCAAAATTGCTTACCTGCAGGATGTCCCTCGCACCATCATTGAGAAGGACACTTTGGAGAAGCTGCTTAAGGTCACTCCACGCGACCAGTGGGAAGACCCACCTGAGGACACATACCTCTACACCCTGAAGACATTTGCGGAGGTGTATGGCCCTGGCAAGGCAACCAAGATGGGCTGGTGGGACTATTTCAGGCTGAAGGTGGACTTGCCTGACACTGCTGAGCTGCAGGATGAAGAGGATGCACTCTATGTCAGTGAGTACTATAGACTCATGATGGAGGGCAAGGTTCCTTTTGCTGTTCCTGGCCCAGCAGGATACTGGTACACCGGTGCCATCATTCAGTGGAAGGGCAAGGAGCCATTCGCAGGCGACCAAGTGCAGACCCTGTTGGAGAATGGCCGATGGAGCAAGCAGTTCTTGAGCAATTTGGCTTTCTACCGTGAGGGTCTGAAGCCATGGCAGCGTGGACTGGAGATTGGAATGGCCCACGGCTACTTCCTGATTGGACCCTTCACTTCCTTGGGTCCCTTGAGAAACACTCCAGAGGCAGCCACTGTTGGCCTGTTGTGCGGCTGTGCGATTGTGGGCATTGTTTCCGTGGGCGGCTTGATCTTCGGCAGCACCATCAAGCCAACTCGTTTCGACAAGCCAGGCGACAAGCCCGCAGCAGGCTTCATTGAGATGATCAACTGGCATGCGATTGGTGGCCTGGGTGGGGCTGGCTTTGCTCATGCCCTTATCACGATCTTCGGGTCCTGAGAAGAGAATAATTTTTTTAACACCGCTGATGAAGCTCCTGTGTGCAGTCGAGAACGTGTGGTGCAAAAACTGCGAGCGGAATCAACTTCCTTGTTTGGTTGTGCACCGTATCACCTTTTGTCTATATATGCCTATACGACCTATACGCTTAAAAATATACGTATAGAATATCATTACATATGTGTATTATATAGATATGATATACGTATAGAATATATGATACAATATAATATAATATAATATAAATATAAATATAAATATAAATATATATATAAATATATATAAATATAAATCTAAATATAAATATAAATATAAATATAAATATAAATATAAATATAATATAATATAATATAGTATAATATAGTATAATATAATATATTATATTATATTATATTATAATGTAATATAATATAATATATAATATAATATAATATGATATGATATGATATAATGTAATATAATATAATATATAATATAATATGATATGATATAATATAATATAATTTAATACAATTTAATATAATATAATATAATATAACATAATATAATTTAATATAATTTAATATCATATCATATAATATCATATAATATATATAATATAGTGGTCCGACATCTCAACTTCCAAAAGTGGTTTGTACATTTTGACTTCGAAATGTGCTTCGCGCCACAACGGCGTGCACTTTTTCATCTCTTTTGGCCAGCTGGCTCCGCGCCTACTTTTCGGCCCTCCGGAGGCTCAAATCATTGGAAAAACACAGTGTTTCGCGAATTTCCTAATATAGATATTATATATATATAAATATTACTTTATATATATATAATATTATTTATTTATATATTATATATATAATATATATATATATATCTATATATTATATATATATATCATATTATATACATGATATATATTATATTTTTCTATTTATCATATATATTATATATAATATTTTTTTTACATTACTAAAATTATATAGTTGTTTTGTTGTATATATATTGTATATATATTTTCACAAATATATATATATATTATATTTAAATATATTATATATATTTATATATATTTATTTGTATTATATATAATATATCTATATATATATATTTTATTTTTTATATTATATATATTATATATATTATATATATTATATATATAATATATATTATAAATATTATATATATTTTCTATATATAATATATACTATATGTATTATATATATATTATATATTTTATATATATTATATATTTTTTATATATTATATGTATTGCATATATTATATAATATATATATATATTAGATATTTTATATCTATTATGTATATATTTTAAATAATGTATATTAAAAATATTATATTTTATATATATATTATAAATATTCTATATTAAATATATATTATATATATTATATATATATTATATTATATATATTATACATTATATATTATATCTATATTATATTATATATATATTTTATTTATATTATATTATATATATTATATATATTATATTTTCCTTAAACAAATTATTATATATATATATTACATTTATATATATTGTATATATTATATATATAATGTATATTTATTATATACTATACATATGATATATATAATATATATAGTATATAATATATATTTTATATTGTATATATAATATATACAATATATAATATATATTATGTATATTATATATATATATCATGAATCATATGTACTATATATCTTATATTTGTTATATATCTTATATTGTTTATATATACACTATTGAATGTATTAAATATAATATATATATATTATGTTAAATATATATAAATATATTTTTATATTACACATTACATAAAAATATTATATACATATACCATATTATATACATACATATATATATATTGTATTATATACATATTGACTTGATATATTATATATAACATATTTTTTTATTGTATATTATATGTTATATATTATATATCAAAAATATTTTTAATATTATATATTATATACGTTTTTTTTGATATTATATATAATATATTTTTATATTATTCGTATTTTATAATATATATATATATTATGTATAGTCTCATGTATGTATGTATAAATGTATATGCACGTACATACGCACATATTTAATATGTGTATCAAAATCAACATGAAAAGTATAGATTTCTTTTCAGGAACTTGCAACATAAGCAGTAGGGACAATCCAGATTGTTGTGGTAATGTACCGCATCTTTTGTGTTTGGACATTAACAATTTGCCAAAGCCTTGCTTTGACGCTGCTACTGTTTTCAGAACCCTCTTCCATTTTTAGAAGCTACCAAAGGTAGCATAGTGGCCATGCGCGAGTTTCTCAATGTGAGCACCACCCTGACGCTGGCGGCAATCGGTGCCTGCACCTTGCTGCTGGCTGGAGATGCGCTGGCCTTTACGTCAGGTGTGAGCCGTGGCCCACAGCTGCCACCCCATGTCTCAGGAGCATCCTCCCTGGCAGGCAGCAGCTTGCCCTTTGCGTCTGCACAGGAGGTGATGGGAGCCAAGGGCGTGGTGTGCTTTGGCATGGGTTTCGGTATTCTCATGGCGCTGAGCCGCGGGTTGTCCCAGTCTCGAGTGTCTTGCAAGGCATCTTTTGAGCAACCAGGCAGCCTCGTGGTGAAGGAAAAGGACACGGACATTTCCAAAATTGCTTACCTGCAGGATGTCCCTCGCACCATCATTGAGAAGGACACTTTGGAGAAGCTGCTTAAGGTCACTCCACGCGACCAGTGGGAAGACCCACCTGAGGACACATACCTCTACACCCTGAAGACATTTGCGGAGGTGTATGGCCCTGGCAAGGCAACCAAGATGGGCTGGTGGGACTATTTCAGGCTGAAGGTGGACTTGCCTGACACTGCTGAGCTGCAGGATGAAGAGGATGCACTCTATGTCAGTGAGTACTATAGACTCATGATGGAGGGCAAGGTTCCTTTTGCTGTTCCTGGCCCAGCAGGATACTGGTACACCGGTGCCATCATTCAGTGGAAGGGCAAGGAGCCATTCGCAGGCGACCAAGTGCAGACCCTGTTGGAGAATGGCCGATGGAGCAAGCAGTTCTTGAGCAATTTGGCTTTCTACCGTGAGGGTCTGAAGCCATGGCAGCGTGGACTGGAGATTGGAATGGCCCACGGCTACTTCCTGATTGGACCCTTCACTTCCTTGGGTCCCTTGAGAAACACTCCAGAGGCAGCCACTGTTGGCCTGTTGTGCGGCTGTGCGATTGTGGGCATTGTTTCCGTGGGCGGCTTGATCTTCGGCAGCACCATCAAGCCAACCCGTTTCGACAAGCCAGGCGACAAGCCCGCAGCAGGCTTCATTGAGATGATCAACTGGCATGCGATTGGTGGCCTGGGTGGGGCTGGCTTTGCTCATGCCCTCATCACGATCTTTGGGTCCTGAGAAGAGAATAACTTTTTTGAAGTCAACATCTTGGAAGTGAAAATTGTGGGCGCTTCAAGGTGAGATGTTACAGTTTCGATCGGTTTTGTAAGAGTTTGTTTTGTGAATGCATGATTTGGATTTCAAGCATGTCAATGTGGATAGCAGAACCAGGTCGATTGACCATATTGTGAAAAATATTGACTGTGAGTTTTTTGTGAGACTTTTTGACAGGGCGAGTTTTCGGTCGTGGCATTTCGGCTCATTGATTGCTTTTCGAGATCCAGGACCCATTCCTACCTTCCCCAGGTAGGGTGGCTGCCACCTGCCATGCGCGAGTTTCTCAATGTGAGCACCACCCTGACGCTGGCGGCAATCGGTGCCTGCACCTTGCTGCTGGCTGGAGATGCGCTGGCCTTTACGTCAGGTGTGAGCCGTGGCCCACAGCTGCCACCCCATGTCTCAGGAGCATCCTCCCTGGCAGGCAGCAGCTTGCCCTTTGCGTCTGCACAGGAGGTGATGGGAGCCAAGGGCGTGGTGTGCTTTGGCATGGGTTTCGGTATTCTCATGGCGCTGAGCCGCGGGTTGTCCCAGTCTCGAGTGTCTTGCAAGGCATCTTTTGAGCAACCAGGCAGCCTCGTGGTGAAGGAAAAGGACACGGACATTTCCAAAATTGCTTACCTGCAGGATGTCCCTCGCACCATCATTGAGAAGGACACTTTGGAGAAGCTGCTTAAGGTCACTCCACGCGACCAGTGGGAAGACCCACCTGAGGACACATACCTCTACACCCTGAAGACATTTGCGGAGGTGTATGGCCCTGGCAAGGCAACTAAGATGGGCTGGTGGGACTATTTCAGGCTGAAGGTGGACTTGCCTGACACTGCTGAGCTGCAGGATGAAGAGGATGCACTCTATGTCAGTGAGTACTATAGACTCATGATGGAGGGCAAGGTTCCTTTTGCTGTTCCTGGCCCAGCAGGATACTGGTACACCGGTGCCATCATTCAGTGGAAGGGCAAGGAGCCATTCGCAGGCGACCAAGTGCAGACCCTGTTGGAGAATGGCCGATGGAGCAAGCAGTTCTTGAGCAATTTGGCTTTCTACCGTGAGGGTCTGAAGCCATGGCAGCGTGGACTGGAGATTGGAATGGCCCACGGCTACTTCCTGATTGGACCCTTCACTTCCTTGGGTCCCTTGAGAAACACTCCAGAGGCAGCCACTGTTGGCCTGTTGTGCGGCTGTGCGATTGTGGGCATTGTTTCCGTGGGCGGCTTGATCTTCGGCAGCACCATCAAGCCAACCCGTTTCGACAAGCCAGGCGACAAGCCCGCAGCAGGCTTCATTGAGATGATCAACTGGCATGCGATTGGTGGCCTGGGTGGGGCTGGCTTTGCTCATGCCCTCATCACGATCTTTGGGTCCTGAGAAGAGAGCAACTTTTTTGAAGGTTTGGACGCGTTGCACAGATTGACATCTTGCAAAGTGTCAAGTCAATTCAATACTCGTCCTTGTGAGGCTAAAATGCGTTGTCTTTGCTGCAGGGTTTCATTCTTTTAGAATGTTTTTGTGATTGTGTGATATGGGCACTAGATTCGGTTATTAAGAGCTTCCTCTACCCAATACACAAGCATCAGCACCATTGCACTTGCCTGCGAATGTGGCTTCAAGAACAACATCCCAACAGGCAAGGAAGTAGGTGAAGCCATGGTTATACGTGATTTTTTGAGCTTCACCACCCTGACGCTGGCGGCAATCGGTGCCTGCACCTTGCTGCTGGCTGGAGATGCGCTGGCCTTTACCTCAGGTGTGAGCCGTGGCCCACAGCTGCCACCCCATGTCTCAGGAGCATCCTCCCTGGCAGGCAGCAGCTTGCCCTTTGCGTCTGCACAGGAGGTGATGGGAGCCAAGGGCGTGGTGTGCTTTGGCATGGGTTTCGGTATTCTCATGGCGCTGAGCCGCGGGTTGTCCCAGTCTCGAGTGTCTTGCAAGGCATCTTTTGAGCAACCAGGCAGCCTCGTGGTGAAGGAAAAGGACACGGACATTTCCAAAATTGCTTACCTGCAGGATGTCCCTCGCACCATCATTGAGAAGGACACTTTGGAGAAGCTGCTTAAGGTCACTCCACGCGACCAGTGGGAAGACCCACCTGAGGACACATACCTCTACACCCTGAAGACATTTGCGGAGGTGTATGGCCCTGGCAAGGCAACTAAGATGGGCTGGTGGGACTATTTCAGGCTGAAGGTGGACTTGCCTGACACTGCTGAGCTGCAGGATGAAGAGGATGCACTCTATGTCAGTGAGTACTATAGACTCATGATGGAGGGCAAGGTTCCTTTTGCTGTTCCTGGCCCAGCAGGATACTGGTACACCGGTGCCATCATTCAGTGGAAGGGCAAGGAGCTATTCGCAGGCGACCAAGTGCAGACCCTGTTGGAGAATGGCCGATGGAGCAAGCAGTTCTTGAGCAATTTGGCTTTCTACCGTGAGGGTCTGAAGCCATGGCAGCGTGGACTGGAGATTGGAATGGCCCACGGCTACTTCCTGATTGGACCCTTCACTTCCTTGGGTCCCTTGAGAAACACTCCAGAGGCAGCCACTGTTGGCCTGTTGTGCGGCTGTGCGATTGTGGGCATTGTTTCCGTGGGCGGCTTGATCTTCGGCAGCACCATCAAGCCAACCCGTTTCGACAAGCCAGGCGACAAGCCCGCAGCAGGCTTCATTGAGATGATCAACTGGCATGCGATTGGTGGCCTGGGTGGGGCTGGCTTTGCTCATGCCCTCATCACGATCTTCGGGTCCTGAATACTCTGTGTGTAGACAAGTTAGCATTTGTGAAGCTTTCGGGAGATTTCAGTACGTGCTGGAAAATATTGTGTCTTTTGCTCCGTTGCAGCCGGTTTTTCAATGAAGGTGAAGTGTAGCTGCACAGAACAGAATGATTCGACTCTGATTGACTGTCCAAGCCTTTTTGTGCTTTGAGTAATCCTAAACCAAAGAGGAAAAGGACAGTAGTGTGCACACTTTGGACGTTCGTTTTCTTTGTGCGAATCAACTCTCTGGGAAGTTCAAATGAGAAGAACCTGGATTCAAATATCTTGCATCATCTTGCTACATGACATAGGAATCGACATAGGCAAAGCACTGCAAAGCAAACTTTGAGTCGTAAATCTTGTCGTAAAAGCAAGCACTGCTTTGCTGTCGTATCCCGTCGTATCCCGTACCTTTCATGGCGCCTTAGGCCTGGCCATGAGAGCCTCAGGAGCTCAGGCGGTCTCCGTGCGCTGGACCGACTTTGACCGACTTTGACCTTGCAAGAAAAGTATAGAACAGTACTTTATTCAATTTATACATAAAATACATAAAGTTATAGGTATGTACTTATTATTTATCATATAATTTCCGGAAGTACTTCTTGTACTTTGAAAGCTTTGAAAGTGAATCATCAACGGGGCCCACGTGAATGAGGTGTTGATCAACAAGCGAATCCTGTCGGCTTCTTCCTGGGTAGTTGCCTCAGTTGCCTCAGATTCCAGCGACAACTGCTTAGCTTTATTTCTATCCTGCGCCTCCCTTCTCATGGAGCTGAGTTGACTGCCGCAGTGCTTCATTTTTCTAGACGGGCAAAGCCTACCAAGGATTCTGTCCTGCACATTTGCAGCAACTCCCTTTTAGAATTCGATGCAGTCTCAGCGGCATGTTTCAACAGATGCTACATACTGCATGCACCTTTCCACTTGATCAATCTGATTTGTCAGTTCTTTGCTACATGTCACGTTTCCTGCTCAATCATTTCAGCACAGTTGCAGTTGATTTGTGCCATTGCCATTAAAGATGCCTGACCTGCTCAGATTGCTGCAGCGTTTTGCTTTCAGGCCAAAAGTACACGGGACCGGACAACAAAAACTTACTTGTTGACCTGTTGCGAATTTGGAAAGCTGAGACCTGCAGTGCTACTGGAGCTTCTGCAAAAAAGGAAGTTTGCCTTTGATTCCACCTCTTCACACCCAAAGAAGCCCCACAAAGCTTCAAAACCACTTCATTTTTGCGTTTGCTCCTCGCTGAGTCCTTCTGTTTTGTAGCATGGTAGCAAGCTGACCAACTTTGGATTTGGTGGGATACTTGGTGATACGAATGTCTGGAAAGCATTTATTTTTCCTTGGCACTGTGGCACTGTGGCTTGACTTGATTGCTTTACTTTCTTTGAACTTAGGCTGGACATGTTCGGTGCTAGGCACCGCCAGGCAGAGACGCAGTGATCTCTGTGCAAAGTGCAACCTTTCGTATTCCCTAGTCAGAGGCACCAAAGGACAATCTCCTTACCAATCCGACCCTCATAGAAGTCGGTTGCTCAAAGCTGGGTGGCATGGCTGCCATTTGGCCGTGCATTATTTTTCCCTCCATGTATATGTTGGATTGACTCCTCGCTGAGCTGTCAACTTTGACGGGAGTGAAAGCTGCGTGTTGGACAGGAGGCTGTCATAATCTGTCATATCTGAGGCCTTTGGAGGCAACACATCCTATTGGAGCGGGCCCTGCTTAAGTTCTCTGCCCTTTAACATCCAACATTGGAATCATTGGGCCTTCCCTTTGGCACCAGCCAGGTTCTCCTGCAAGAGCTGGGGCGGTGCATGAGGCCGACTTGCCGATATATTAGTTGAAACTTAGCCGGCCCAATTACAGTCAGATTTTGCATGATATTTCAATATATTTCAGCCATTTTCACACAGTCTCACATTAAGTTAAGATCGAAGACAGGTGGTTCCTGATGATGCGGAGGAAGTCCCGAGAGTCTTCTCCATGAAGGCTCACTCTCTTCACTAAGATGGTACTTTCTCAGAGGCTGCACAGCTCTATCATTCTTAAAGCCTGGTCCAGCAATTCTGCTGTTCTGGGCACATATGAATCTACTGATACCACTAGTTCACTAGTGCCTGCATTTTTTTGATTCTTTGGTAGTCAGGAGACTAGTGGTTCCTTTGGCCTGGAGACTCAGTCAAGACGCGGCAATGCTCCGTAACTTCGAGTGCAGTCGGACAGTGCATACTCTTACGGCAAGGTTGGAAGTGACTATAGTTCATCATTCTCTTGTTGGAAGTTATGTTCTGAACATATTGAACCTCTAGGTGCTTCCAGCGGCTGCCTGCCGACTACGCAGGCTCTTGAGCCCCTTCACACTGACATGATCGTGTTAGCAGATCTGACGCTTGGGAATGAGACAGCTCGACACTACACTTTGCATCATGACCATCCACCACTTTTTTCAGGCAACGTGGCCGATGGGAGCTTCGAACGGAACAGGTCCTGAAAGAGCAGAGATTCTTGCACCAAAACATGGACGACACGCATGGAATGCAGTGTGGCTAGAACCACATTACAGTGCTAGGTTGGGGAAACAATCTCATGTTGCATCCTACACCTCAGGACGTGGGAATTGGAGAGCTTGGGCTCGGGAACATCTTTGACTTGCTGTGCAATTCTTGAAGTGAATCAGGACTCAACATTAGGTGGGTCAGAGCCTCGAACAAGCTGCACGAGGGAGCTTTGAGAAGTGTTTTTGTATGATATGGGTTTGTCTGAAACTAGGGTACCCCGAGGATACCCCTCAGATATGATTATTGATCTTTAGTTTCTTACCTTGGCGTTCAGACACACCCAAATACAGTACTTTGTGATTCCATGATTGTGTGAAATCACCAGGATAGTGCTGTGTTTCGAGCACTGCCATTTCAGGTTGGGTACTGGACAAGTCGCCAGTGGCAATCCGTGTTGGGTGTTGAGCTCAGCCTATTCTTTTAGCATGTAGTGACTAGGATTCCTTGACCCTTGAGTCAACTTGTTCCGCAGAGGTGACTGTTTTTGGATTTCCTGGGAGAGCAGCTCCTGCCTCAAAATGCCGGTCGCGCAACTTTTGCTGCCACATAAGCTCGCCGTAGCAACTAGCGATTACAAGTTTTCTGTTTCTATGCGTTGAGGAGAGGACCTCTCAGGAACTGTCATGACATTTGCTCCATCCGTCCACGTAAATGCTTGAGGAGGGGTCCTTCCTCCTCGGGAATTGGTTGTACTACTGTTTTTGCACAGTGTGCTATGCATGCTGAGTTGTTGAGCAGTGGGAATCCGCGCGCTCTGCTTCCAGAAAGCAAACAACCCAACATGGTAAATTGAACCCATCTGTGTGGGCCTAGGCTGCAGCAGTCCGCCAGCAATTGGAAGCTGTCTGTGGACCAATTGTGGAGGCACCAACAAAAATGATCAAAGTTCAATCAAGATTCAAGATCGTACCTTTGCCTCATTTGCCTGATTTGCCTCAACTGAAGTGTCCTTTGCAGGTTTGTCATGGGGAAGGGAACTTCATGCACATTTGCTTCGTGAGCTCTCAGGCCAAAGATATGCCACATTTCGTTCATGTGGTTCCGAAAGTCTCTTTCACTTCTGCTTTTCCCTTTGTGCCAAACAGGCCGCGACCGCATGTTTGGCGTTAAACGGCCAACTGTTGTTAGGAAAGATTATGGCATGTGCCTTACCTTCCGCAACAGTTTTGAAACTACACGGTCAACGTCATGAGAATTGTTTGCAAATGCAAACGCCTATGACTTTGTGAAATTGAGGTCGGATGCATCCCCTGCACTCATGCCGCTCATGCCTCAGATTGTTCTGAAGAAAGGCGTCTTATGTCTGGCAGGAGAGCCTTCTGAACCAATGTTTTCAACTTTCAACACCCATTCCGCCACAGGCACTTCTGGCCGTTGGGGAAACTGACCAACAAGAGGCTTCTCCTTGTCTCGGCCAATCCTACAACTTGATAGAGTCAACGGAGTCAACTCCATGCGACAAGTGTAGCTTTGTCATACTTTGTCTTTGTTCATGAGTTGATGAGTCGAACCTGGTGGACAAAGTCTCTTGTTAGATCTTGTTGGTATTTGTAACTCTTTCAAATCAGTTTGCTTTGTGTTTCTTTCGTTTTGGGAGTTAGCATGGTCGCCCTTGGCTCAGTCGCTGCAGCGGACAGCAACGTACAGCAATGGAGGCGCCTGTGACAGTAACATGACGTCTTTGTGTATGTCGAATCAGTCTTTTTGTCGTTGGTCACTGTAAACTCTGAAATTAGGAACGACATGGAATATAATAGACGTATATATATATATAAACAATGTTATAGATATAGACACAATACTGTCTTGGCTTCGTTGTAGCAGCGAATTATCATTGCACGGTGCATGATTTTTGGGTGGTTGTGGCAGCTCAAGAAGATAGCAGAGGAGATGCATTGCAAGATTTTTGAAACACAACAAAGGATACATACAAAGGGTATTGCGAGTATGGTTCTATACCGATGATAGCTGTCATTCTTCGATAAGTGTAAATCTGTGTTACTGTGATTCTTAAATCAAAGCTTCGCAGGTCAGTTTTTGCCACCAGGACCTGGTCGACCCGAGGCAGAGTCTGAAACATTGTTGTTTTGCAACAAAAAGTTCTGTTGTAAAAGTTCTTTTGTCTCTACAGGTGCGTCGAAGTGGTTTTTTGTGGCGCCTGCTTGATCAACTCTTCGATCTGTGAGAACTCGAAGGGTTCGCTGGAAAAGTCTTGTGTTTAGCTCCGTGTGCAGTGCCTGAATCTTGGGCGACTGAAAGCCAAAGACGTGAAAAACGGCTTTTGCAGATTTTTGCTATTGCTTCAGTGTTTGAATCTATACAACATGTTGGGCAACATGTTGCAACATATTGTCCGTGGCAAAACCCAGAGCGATGTCCCAAGTGAAAAGCTGCTAGGTGAACCTTGCAACAGCCGTCCATCGGTTGGCCAGGCCAGTCGCATGTGAGAATGATGCGCAAGCCACTAGTTGAAATTGGAAGGCTCGGAAGCCTTGATCGAAAAGAAGCTTCAGATCAACTGTAAGGCGCGACAATTTTGACAAACAAAGAGTGTTCTCCCGGTCAGGTCAAAGATACCCTCTTTTCATCTCTTTTCTTCGTTGTGACTTGCCCAGGTGACCATCTCATGCTTCTTTTCACTCTTTCACTGATTGGTTGCCCCCATGAGCCATTCCCACTTCCACTTTCTTTGGTTGTGGATGGCGCGAAAACGTTTCAGCATCAAGAATCAATATGCATCAAGGTGTTCTGCTTCCATTGAATTGCCTGTTGCGATTGCAAATGTCACAAAAGCGCATGGCGCATGGAGACACTTGTTGGAGCAGTTCTTGCGGGATGCAGTTGCTGTTGACGCTAGCCGCTAACGTGCCTTTTTGCTACTTTTGGCCGCACCAAACAAGACCCAAAAAGGACTCAAAAAGGCACTTTCAGATCAGAGGAACGAGCATGGGGTGTATTGAGCAAGCCGTGGGGCGTGATGGTCGATCAATTACTACGTTGCTGATCGTTGCTGCTGTGTTTACCGTGTTCTGTTTTGTTTGATGCTTGTCTTGGGCTTGCGTCGTGAAGGTCTCCCTGCTTTGGCGCGACCTTTTCCCGATGTTGCTGTCATACGTGTTTTGTGGTCTGCTTGGTTCTCATAGTTGAGTAGCAGTTGGCCCTCAAAAGCAATGGCTGCAACGCATTTGAGAAGTCTTGCCCATCCCCTGGCTTTGAATCCCGTCGCGTGCTGCTTCAACATAGAGGGCTGAATTTGCGAAATGTTAGGGCTGAAACTAATTACGTTTGTATGTAATGCAACGTGATGTAATGTAATGTAAGGTAACGTAATGCAATGAAATGTACTGTACGTATGTTTGTATCACGGTGGAAGGGGGTTAGATTGGGCATGCTTGGCGCGACCTGTTTCCCAATCTTAAAGTTGAAAATTGAAACTAAAAAGGTTGGCCATATAGTCTCTTGATACGCATCTTTCCTTGCCCAACAGGCTTTCGTCCCCTTCCCTTTGGCGTCAAGTTGTACCATAGGGGCATGTGTCCAGGGCAGCTGACACCACGATGATTGCTTTCTTGTTGCCCGTTCAACCTGCGTTTTTGCAGGGGAACAATGGAAGTTATTGTTGCAGAGGCGGGGGTGCTACCAGAAACACGGCATTGCTCCTTCTTCCTCTCTAATCCTTTTCTTCGTTCTATTCTTCAAACATACCTAGTCATAGTGTGTTGCCCCGATGCTTAGCATGGAGTGTCCTTAGTATTTTTGTTGACTTTGTCGAGCTTCCTCTTTGCCAATTTAACAGGCTACACTGCTGTCCTCGAAATGCCTTATGTTTAGCACGATTGTTTTGTTTTTTCCCGAATGCCGAGTGAAGGGTTCTTGTTTTCTTGGTAGGAGGTCTGGGGGGAGCTCTGTTTGCGGCTTGTTGCGTGTCGCGGGGCTCGAATCAACCCCTCGCCGTGCCTATAGGAATTGCTACAAAACGTGACGTTGTTGAAGTTGCGAAATTGCATTTCGTGTGGCAGGTGTGGGACGAAGTGGCACTCAGGCGTGGAGTGTCGCGCGGGTCTCTAATCGACTTGCTCGCCGTGTCTCTAGGATGTGCCACAAGAGTGTGGGGTGTGAAGTGTGGAGTGTGGGCTGTGAAGTGCTGCGTGTGAAGTTTGAAGTGTGATGAGGGAAGTAGAGGGTATGAAGTGTGGCGTGTGGAGTGTGAAGTGTGGCGTGTGGATTGTGGAGTGCGATGTGGAAAGTATGAGGTGTGGAGTGTGGAGTGTGGTGTGCGCGGGCTTGTGTGCTTGTCTCTCTCAGATAGGACCGACAAGCCGTACAGCTGCCATGCACGACAGGTCGCGCCCTTTGACTTCGCAGCCTGGCAGGAGGCTTGCCAGTCGATGTTCCCAAAGACTTTGGCAAACCTGCTCGAGGGGAAGCCGGCGAAGATGCCAAAGAGGTTCGTCGAGACATGGCAAGGCTTCGACCACTTGCCGCGGGAGCAGAAGCACCTTGCCTGCGCAAGTCAAATACTTGCTATATTCTTTGCTATATTGTGTTCCACATTGTTCCACATTACAGTAATTACTTTTTGCTGCTTATAACGACGTCGCGCATTAGCAAGCTATTAAATAACATGATCGCCAGCGGCAAAGATTTCAAGCAGCCTGTGCTCCCAAGCCCATCCTGCAACCCGTCCCCATTGCTTGCTGCGGAGGTTAAAAGCCATGTCGGAAGTCGGCCTCTACATCGTCATGCATTACCCGCCTCGAGGCGAGCTGAGCCCAGAGCAGGACTTCCTTATGCAACTCCACGACGAACTTAGAAGGCGTCGTCGAAGAGGCGCGCTTGGAATGAAAAAGCCGCGTTCAAATCGAGCATCAAAAACGGAATGCTAAAAACAAACAGAACGCGCTGATCTGCTGAAAGAGCGTCTGTTTCTTATGGGTCTCGCTTGTTCGTCGACCTCCTGCCAGGAAGTCGAATTCGCCATGACGACCAGAGAGCCGGTCCGCAGCCCCTTAGTCGTCAACCCACGCACCCGGCGGCTTGTGACATTCCAACTTTACACTCTACAAAATAGTGCCCCCAAGTTGTTTCACTTATAACTTGGGCTAATAAGTATGGTTATAAAAGGAATAACATGGGTTAAGTTCTATTATAAGTGAGGCTAAGTAGGATAACTATTTTGGAACTTATAAGTAAATTACAACTATGTTGTGGAAGTTGTTGGAGAAATAACTAAGTTGCAATTTGAGTTGTCTGAAGTTATCTGGAACTTATAACGAAGTTATTGTTTCTAAGATTTTTATTTATTTTTTATGAGTATCGTTTCTTTTTTGCATTTTTTTAAAATTTGATTATATATATATATTTTCTGGTTATTTTAGAATATGTTGGATTTTGAGTCATTTTTGGATTTGAACTTAGTTTTTCTTTGGGTTTCCGAGCGGTGGTCCGCTTTATTTTTTATGGCTTCGCAGCGATAGTCCGTTTTTATTTTTTGTTTTTTAGGGGTCCATGATCGATAGTATTTTCATTTGTTATTTTTTTCAGCGGTAGTCCGCTTATTTATTTTTGGGGAGGGGACTTTCCATGAGCGGTAGTCCGCTTTTTATTGTTCCCTGAGCGGTAGTCCGTTTTGTTGTGTATGATAAGTGAAGATCATGTTTTTTTTTCCCGAGACACCACCCCGAGTCACGCCAAGACACCCCGAGACACCATCCCGAGACACGC